CCTCTTCCTTCCAGGGCCTGTTCCATGTTAATGACATCATCCGTAGGCCATACAAAGTGATCACCTGCGATCGTTGTATCCATTTCACAGGCAGCTGGGGTTAGGGTATAGCGGGCAAAGCCGCTGCTCCACCTCCCATCCAGCTCCCTGCGAATGACCCGGCTTGGAAAAACCAGCGTGAAATGGCCCACATGCCTTGGCCCCTGACAACCAGGTGGGAGACCCAGAAGAAGCTCTTGGCTTCAGCGTGGCCCAGTCCCAGCTGTTGCGGCCATCTGGGGAGTGAACCAGAGGATGGAAGATTCTCTCCCCTTCAAATAAATACATACATATTTAACAGGCAAGAAAAAGTGACTTGGCCAGCCTCCTACAGCCTGCAGGCCAGGCAATGCCGGCCCCTGCTCTAGGACATATATTTAAGAGTTGAATTGCTTACTTATATCTGTCACAAGCTTTTTGATTGATTTACGGCTGGGCCAAGCCAAAGTGAGGAGCCTGCAATTCCATCTGAGTTTCTCACGTGGGTGCAGGGGCCCAAGCGCTTGGGCCGTCATCTGCTGTCCCGGGTGCATTAGTAGGGAGCTGGATCAGAAGTGGAGCAGGAGCCAACGTTTGTGGCATAGCAGGTTAAGCCAGCATTGTATCCCATGTGGGCACCAGTTCGAGTCCCGTCCAGCTCCCTGCTAATGTGCCTGGGAAAGCAGCGGAGATGGCTCGAATACTTGGGCCCCTGCACCCACGTGGCAGATCGGGAAGCAGCTCCAGGCACCCTGGAGTAACCAAGTGAGCCACGGTGCCGGCCCCAATATTCAGAGTTTTTAAAAAAATTATTCCAATATCGTGATGGGGGCCAGTACTGTGGCCTAGTGGGTAAAGCTGCCACCTGCAATGCCAGCATCCCATATGGGTGCCAGTTCTAGTCCTGGTTGCTCCTCTTCCAGTCCAGCTCTCTGCTATGGAAGGCAGTGCAGGATGGCCCCAAGTCCTTGGGCCCCTGCACCCACATAGGAGACCAGGAAGAAGCTCCTGGCTCCTGGCTTCGGATCAGGGCAGCGCCGGCCCTAGCGGCCATTTGGGGAGTGAACCAACAGATGGAAAACTCTCTCTCTCTCTGTCTCCTCTCTGTCTCCTTTCTCTCTCCTCTCTCTCTCACTCTCTCTCCCCCCTCCCTCCCTCCCTTCCTCCCCCCTTAAATAAACTAAAAACATCACTGGAACCGTGGAGCTGCCAGTCTGTGTCTAGATTGTGGGTTGCTGTGTCTTGCTTTGGAAATCCTACCCCGAGGTGAATAAGACTTCCCATTGTGTTTTCCTCTGGAAGTTTTACTTTGCAGATTTAGCTTTAAAAGAAGGAAGGAAGGAAGGAAGGAAGGAAGGAAGGAAGGAAGGAAGGAAGGAAGGAAGGAAGGAAAAGAGAAAGGAAGGAAGGAAGGAAAAGAGGAAGGAAGGAAGGAAGGAAGGAAGGAAGGAAGGAAGGAAGGAAAGAAAGAGAGAGAGAGAAAGGGAGGAAGGAAGGAAGGAAGAAAGAGGAAGGAAGGAAGGAAGGAAAGAAGGAAGGAAGGAGAAAGGAAGGAAGGAAGGAGGAAGGAAGGAAGGAAGGAAGGGGAAAGGAAGAAGGAAGGAAGGAAGGAAGGAAGGGAGGGAGGGAGGGAGGGAGGGAGGGAGGAAGACCTACCTGGAATTTTGTTCCTCATGGAGTGAGATAAAGCTGTAATTTATTTTCTCCGCATGAATGACCCCTCGTTCCAGTTCCATCTCTCGATAATGCAGTGGTTCTTAAAGTGTGCTCCCCGGAGAGTCCCCCAAGACCCTCCCAGGGACCCGCCGCCCCGCCGTGCAAATCCTGTGTAGCAATGCCCTTGAAGAAGCAGCAGCAGAAGGCATTGCTTAGGTTAAAGCCCCGAGCCGTGAGCCCCGCTGGTTCTGGTTTTCAGGGCGGCCAGATGGGGAGGTTCCCACAGAACTCGTGCTCAGCACGGGTAAAGCACTCGGACCCTTCTTTAAGCAGAAGTGAGACTGGCAGGTTTTTTTTTTTTTTTTTTTTTTTTTTTAAGGCTATTTATTTGAAAGGCAGTTACGCAGAGATCTTACGTCCTCTGGCTCACTCCCCAGATGGCCGCAATGGCAGGGCTGGGCCAGGCGGGAGCCAGGAGCCAGGAGCCTGGAGCCCCCAGCCCCCTCCGTGTCTCCCACGGCGGTGGTGGGAGCCACCTTCCACTGCTCCCCCAGGTGCATTAGCAGGGAGCCCGAGCAGCCTGTGCTCGGATACGGGATGCTGGTGTTGCAGGCAGCAGCGCTAACCTAACCCAGGTCCCACAGTGCACGCCCCAGGACACTTTTAAGAATGACAGACTAGGGGCCGGCGCCATGGCTCACTAGGCTAATCCTCCGCCTAGCGGCGCCGGCACACTGGGTTCTAGTCCCGGTCGGGGTGCCGGATTCTGTCCCGGTTGCCCCTCTTCCAGGCCAGCTCTCTGCTGTGGCCAGGGAGTGCAGTGGAGGATGGCCCATAGTGCTTGGGCCCTGCACCCCATGGGAGACCAGGAGAAGCACCTGGCTCCTGGCTCCTGCCATCGGATCAGCGCGGTGCGCCGGCCGCAGCGCGCTGGCCGTGGCGGCCATTGGAGGGTGAACCAACGGCAAAGGAAGACCCTTCTCTCTGTCTCTCTCACTGTCCACTCTGCCTGTCAGGAAAAAAAAAAAAAAAAATATATATATATATATATATATAAAAGAATGACAGACTAGGGGGCGCCACCGCCTGCAGCGCCGGCATCCCATATGGGCGCTGGCTGGAGTCCTGGCTGCTCCACTTCTGACCCAGCTCTCTGCTGTGGCCTGGGAAAGCAGTAGAAGATGGCCCATGTCCTTGGGCCCCTGCACCCACGTGGGAGACCCGGATGGAACTCCTGGCTCCTGCCTTTGACTTGGCCCAGCCCTGGTCCTTGCAGCCCCTTGGGGAGTGAACCAGAGGATGGAAGATCTCTCTCTCTCTCTCTCTCTCTCTCTCTCTCTCTGTGTCTCTGTCTCTCTCTCTGTGACTCTGCCTTTCAAATAAATACATAAATACATGAAATCTTTAAAAAAAATGACCCAGATTGTTCCCCTGAGATCTTTGCAGAGATCTGCCCAGAGTCAAAGTGGGAGCCGCCCACTTCGAGGCCAGCGGCCGGCACTTTGTGTCCCTCTGTGGTCTGTGGGAGTCCAGCTGCTTCCATTCAGCCATCCAGTAATGAGCTACACAAATATGAAACAAAGAAGAAAAGGAAACGCCATTCTTCTAATTTTAAAAATAATAGTTATTTTTCACAAGGAATTTGTTAATACAATGGATTTATTAGTTACTTTTCATTTGTTAATACACTTTTGAATTTCTCAGTTTAATTTTTTTTAAGATTTTATTTATTTGAGAGGCAGAGTGACTGACAGAGAGAGAGGTCTTCCATCCACTGGTTCACTCCCCACGTGACCGCGGTGGCCGGCGCTCTTCCTCACCGATGGTTCTGCTGGCTGCGTGGGTTCTGTCTAAGGGGACGTGCGCAATTCGCCCAGCCTCCCCAGTGCTGAGGGCTCGACCTTGCTGCCCTGTTGCCACCCCCAGGAGTGCCCACCGTCTCACGCGCAGGTCCCTGGGGCCTGTGCCCAGGAGAGCACTGCTTGGCTCCAAGTGAGGGCTGCGACCCCGGGGGCAGAGGCCAAGGGTGGTGCAAGACATCTGGGCAGGGCGGGTGGAAAAGCCGACCGGCCGTGGTGAGGATTCGCTGCATCCTGGGAGCACACTGCCAGCCTCCAGAGGGCAGCTGCGCAGGGGCGAGGCCTCGGTGCAGTCACGTGTCATTAGCAGAGTGCACGAAGGGTGTCGAGGGTCCGAGTGCTGGAAGGGCGTGGCGCGCCAGCCAGCGTTCCCATCAGAGGAAGTCCCTTAACCATCCCGGCTGCAGTGGCGGTGGCGACCCTTGCCCTCGGAGGGTCAGGAGAGGAGACAATGCCCAGCCTGAGCGTGTGGCTCCTGTCCACGCGCAGGTGCACAGCGGCGGCAGCCGGTGTGTGTGGCGAGAGTGAAGGCACCAAGGCAGAACTGGCTGTGCTGTGCCGTCTCTCCCTGGGCAGGCCCACAGGCTTCTTCTTTTTTTTTATTTTATTTACTTATTTAAAGGCAGAATTACAGAGAAGCAGAGAGAGAGAGAGAGGTCTTCCTTCTGCTGGTTCACTCCCCAAATGGCTGTAATGGCTGGAGCTGCACGGATCTGAAGCCAGGAGCCAGGAGCTTCCTCTGGGTCTCCCAAACAGGTGCAGGGGCCCAAGGACTTGGGCCATCTTCCACTGCTTTCCCAGGCCACAGCAGAGAGCTGGATCGGAAGTGGAGCAGCTGGGACTTGAACCGGCGCCCATATGAGGTGCCAGCACTGCAGCTCGTGGCTTTACCCGCTATGCCACAGCCCCAGCTCCCCCAGGCTGCTTCAGTTGGGCCTCAGCCCCAGTACCGCACGTGGGTTGGGGGCCGTGGGTGGAGGTGCTGCGGCTGCTGCACGGGACAGCCTGCATGCCATATCGGAGCGCCTGCTTCTGGTCCAGCTTCCTGCTGATGTGCGGACAGAGAGAAAGGCCGTGCAGGGCTGGTGCAGCTCCCAAGAGGGCGCCCGTGTCCGTGTGTGAGGCTGGAGTGGCAGGTGGTCGCTGCAGGGCCGTGCCAGCCCCCCGTGTTCACCTTGGCCTTGGCTCTGTGCGGGCGAGGAGGCCACTGGGGGGTTGAGCAGAGGGGTAGACGGCTCCCAGGAGCAGACTGCTTTCCGTGTTGAGGGGGCCCACAACGGCTCAGGCGGAGACACAGGGGGTGCACCCCGGAGCGTTTGCAGATTCTAGAGAAACTGCCCGCCACGTGCCCAGCCAGGCCTCTCTGCCCAAGGTCCCCAGAGCTGGGGTTCAGGCCGCTCTGGGCTGCCCCCTGTGGGTCTCCCCAGCCCAGCTTCCCACCACCAGTGAGCCACACCACGCTCGTCCTTCCAAGAAATCTTAATTTCTTTATTGTTTGACTTTTTGACTCAACAATTTTTTTTAAAGTTTTTGTTTTTTTCTGAAACGTTCTTGTTGTTATGAGCCTTTTTGTTTTGTTCTCGTTAAATGCACTCGACCCAAAATTGGTTTGGCATATCGAAAAGGAGACCAAGGGAGGGAGGGAGCGGGGAGGGGTGGGGGAGGCCCGAATGGACAAAAATTGGAATGAGAGACACTGGGAGAGAGGCGGAGACGTTAGGAGGAGAAGGCAGGGGGGAACCAACAGAAGGAGAAAACCCAGAGAGAAAGAATTGAGATTTAGGAGCAAATGAATTTAGGAGCCCAAGGAAGGGAGGAGAGGCAACCATGACCCTTCTCTGTTATCATCCCGGCTGGGGCGGGGGCGTCAAGGCACCAGGTCTGGTGGGGGTCGGGGCTGGGGAGGGGGATACCTGGGCTCGCAGGGGTGGCTCTGCCCCAGACGGCAGCAGCACCCAGCCCCACCAGGGGGCCTCAGAACCCGGCTGGAACGGGAGCCAAGGGCCCCCACTACACCCTCTTCCCCTGATTGTCCATGTATGGAGAGAGGAGGGCCGGCAAAGGAGAGGATGACTCTGTACCCCCAGCCCCCTGCTGTCCAGCCTGCTCCCACGCTGGGCCCACTCCCCATCCGCCCCGTTTCTGCCTCTCTGGGGGGGGGGCCCTAGCCGCCCCCTCCACACAGTGGAGCTAGAGGCCCAGCAGGGTCTGGGAGCTGCCGCCTGCCCCACCCCTTCCGTCCTCCTCCCCATCTAGACCTTGCCCTTGGTCTTCCGGTGAAATGGGTTAAGCCTTCCTACCAGAAAAAGCCCCAGATGAACTCCACCCTGCCTTCTCCTTGGGACAAACCACCGTCTTTGGTCTGACCCCTTCTCCCCTGGGTGATGGGGACAAGCCCGCCCCAGCTTCCCCGGGAGAAAGGAGGGGGCTTTCTAGCAGCAAAAAGGGTCCCTCCAGCCACCTACCTGTCCCTTTCCCCCAGTTTCTTCCTAGAGCCCCACCCCCTTCACCCAAAGTTCATGGCAGCAGCAGGCTGAGACCCGGAGATGTGTTTGAAAACTCATGGCACTTGTGAGAAAAGAGGGAGGGGCAAGAGACAGGGAGGGGTCGGAGCCGAGGTGGAGAGGGCTGGCAGGTGTGGCGACCGCGACGCTACCCCAAGGGTTGGGGGGGAGGGGGCCGAGAGGTACTCTGGAGACTGGGGGCGTGGGCGTGCTGGCGCCTGGCTTCGCGGATGAAGGGCTGTGGGCAGGTGGGCGCCGCTGCTCCCCTCTCGCCCAGCCACGCCCAGCGCCCCCTGACCCTCGGGCCCCCTCCGACCCCTCCCCCGCCCCCCAGGAGCAAAGTACAAGAAGCAGGAACGCAAAAGGGGTAGCGCAGCCATCTCGGCAGAAAGCATCTTTGGGCGTGAGGGTGTCTCCCCTGGGCCAGTGGGGAGGGGAGGGGCAGACAGGCCTCTGGTCCTGGGGCAGGCAGTGAGGTACACGCCCCAGGAGGGCTGACGGACGGATGCCAGGGGCGGGCAGGAGAGGCGATGACACGCGGCGGGCGGGAAGGAAACAGGTTCTTTGTTTCGCTGTTGCTTCGAGATCGTGGCGTCTGTCTCTGGATTGTAAAAAGCTGCTCTGGAGGCCCGCCCGCCCCGGCCGGGATGCACACGTACACACAGAAGTCCTGGCTGCCGGGGCCGGGCGGCGCGCTCCGCTCCGCAAGGCCGGGGCTGGCCCGGGCCGCAGGCTCCCGGTGGCTTCAAGTGATGAGATTTTCTTTTTTTTGTCTTTTTTTTTTTCCTTTTCCATTTCGTTGAAATATTTACAGCAATAGGAGAGGAGGAGGAGAGAGGAAGGGGTTACGAGGGCCCCCCTAGGGGGAGATCCAAGCCCAGGACCCGCTCCCCGGGGAGATCCGGACCCCAGGTCTCCCCAGATCGCTGAGCCCACAGGACTGGGAACCGCCCAGATATGGCCACCCCTGTGGGCTGAGGGGCCCTGCGGGGACTTGTGCTTCATCAGGAGTCGTCCCAAGGGAGGGGGTCATTGGGTGCATTCTGGGAGGGCTGCCTGGCGAGGGGGAGGAGCTTCGGGGCAGGTTCGCCCTGGAAACCGATAGCTGCCGCCACCACCACCACCGGCCGCCACCACCCGTCCCCCTCGCCCTGGGCCTTCTCCTGGTCTCCAGGGAGCAGGGGACGGTGGTGTAGGAGGAACCTGTCCGTCCGTCCGTCCTGCCCCGCTGCTCCCTCCAGGCGTGGCTGACGGGGGGGCCGTGGCACCACCCTGGGAGGCTGCACCTCCCCACCGGAGCCTTCATTTCCCTCCTGGGGTGGTGGGGCAGGAAGAGGAGGGGGCGAGGGGGGAGGCAAGAGACGGGCGGGCACCCTTGCGATGTCTCCCTCCTCACGCCCCCGGGGACCTCCGGGCTCCTCCTCACTGCACATCCCCCGAGTACAGCTGGTGCATGTGGCTGGTGGGAAACCCTGTCTGTGAGCCCTGGCCCCTCGGGCGCCCCAAGGGGACCGCAGGGCCCGTGGCCGAGGGGCGCTGGGAGAGAGTGGCCCACCAGCCACTGCCTCCCTCGGTCTCCCTCTCCCACCAGAGCTCGGCCCAGGGCTCCCTCCCCGGCCTGGGCCACCAGCCCCTGGTCCGTGAGGTCCCCTCAGAGACTGGTGACCAACTGCATCTGCCCGTCCCCGTCGGGCCCTGGCCCCTCCAGGCCCGGGGCTGCCAGGTAGCCCTCGTGGCTGGGCCTCCGCACCTGGTAGTAGCCCTGCAGGGGGTTCCGGGCCACCAGGGCCGGCGGGCGCGAGGTGTAGTAGATTTCGGGGGGCCCGGGGGGCGCGGGCGGGGGTGGGGGCAGGGCCTCGCTGGGCCCCTCAGGGCTGCTGTCCGGGTAGGAGGGCGAGTCCCGCAGGTTGGCCCCGCTGGCATAGAGGGAGTCCCGGCCCGGCGGGGAGGAGAGGGGCCTGCTGGTGGCGCCGTCCTCCGCCGTACAGCTCTCCGACTCGTCCAGGTCGCTCTGGTACAGCACCGACTGGGCCCTGGGCAGCAGCAGCGGCTCCTCCAGGGCCTTGTAGAGAAGTTCGATCTCGGCCCGGTCAGCACCCCCGGGCCCGCCTGCCTCCTCCTCACTGGTGCCCCCCGGCACTGGCGGCACGGGGGGCTCGGGCGGCGGGGGGGGCCCCTTGGCCCCGCTGCTGCCGCCCCGCAGGTTGCTGTGCACCAGCTCCGAGATGATCATCTTCTCGAAGGCCGCCGCGTCAGCCAGGCTCCGGCCCCCGTCCCCCGGAGGGAAGTCCCCGCTTCGCAAGGAGTAGCTGTTGTTGAAGTTGCCATTAAGGGGCAGGGTGTCCATGCCACACGCGTCCCGACCGCCCAGGGGGTGCTCTGCAGGGGAGGAGGGGGAGCCAGGCTCCGTCAGCGCCGGAGGAGGGCGGGGGGCGCACTGAAGACCCACCCCCGCTTCCTCTGCCCAGGCCCAGCCCACAAGGCTGTCACCAACGTCTGCTTGCTCATCCCAAAGTGTTCCCCTCCCGGCCTCAGAAACCTGACCAGCAAAGAATCACACTTCATCCAAAAAACAAAAACAAAACAAGACAAGACAAAACAAAACAAAACCAAAGTCACACTTACTGGGTTCCCGGTAGCTCCCTGAGGTGCCAGGCAGGAGAGAAGAGAGAGAAGCTGTGAGTCAGCCCAGAAGGCCCCGTCCAGGCTCCAGCGAGGAGGGAGGGGTGAGAACGCCCCTGCGGCCACCCTGCCTCCCACTCTGCCCCGCTCACCTCGCCCCCTGGGCGCTCTCACCTGGGGAGTTGAAGACCGGAGGCGAGGAGGGATTGAAGCCCACCGACTCGGCGATGAGGGTGTTGTAGGGGCTGGTGCCCCCACGGGGCTGCAGCACGGGGTTGGTCAGCAGGTGGTTCCCCATGGTACCTGCCCGAGGGGTCAGAGGTCACCAGGCGGCCCCCATACCGCGGGCCCGGTGCGGGGTGAGAGGGGCGCTGTCTCACCGCGGTTCAGGGTGGGGGTGCTGTTGATGTCGCCGGCCATGAAGGACGACTCGGTCTGTTTCCTCACCGTGTCGTTCCACATCCTCCGGATCCGGCTCTGGGGGACAGAACCCGGGTGACGCGGGGTCCCCGGGACCCGAGAGAGCCAGGCCGCGCCCCGCCCCTACCTCTCGGGCCCCAGGGAGCCCCCCAGTACCTGCGTCCCTGTGTAGTAGCGGGTGTTGCTTCGCATGGCTGAGGTCTTGAGGGAGCCGTGGGTGCCCCCAGGCGGGGCGCGGATGCAACAGTAGGAGTGACGCAGGCACTTGCTGTACTCCTTGTGCACCTGGGGAGTGTGGGGACGTTCTGGGACCCAGCCGTCCTCACGGGCCCGTTTCCTGTCCCGGCAGCCAACGGGGGCCGCACCAACCTCACTGTCGGCCTCGCCCTCTCCTGCCCCATCTCCGTGCTCATGGACTGTTCTGCACACACTTGCTCAACAGAGCCGCAGTGAGCAAGGTGCAGGGCGGGGCTGGAGACGGTACAGAACACAGCACACCCGTCTCTGGCTCTCAGAGCCTGCCTGACGAAACGCTGACAGAATGCAGACACAAACACAAACGACAGGGCAGCAGGCTAAGCCACCCTTGGGATGCCGGCCTCCCCCATCCGGGCACCGGCTCAAGTCCTGGGTATTCCATTCCAGCTCCCTGGAGGCGCCCGGGCCTCCGTAAGCCACGTGGGAGACCCGGATGAAGCCCCGGGCTCCTGGCTCTGAACCTGCACGCAGCCTCCCACAGATGTGAAGTCATCGCCAGGGGAGCTGGAGCCCCCACCACGACTCAGCGCTACGTAGGTAGCAGCTGTGCCACGTCGTTCAGGGAACGGCGACAAAGACCTGTACGAGTTCCATACAGATGCAGTTCTCCCCATACATTTATCTTTCCAAAAAAAAAATGAGAGGCAAATAGAGAGAGCAAGCCTCCCATCGCTCCCATCAGCCAGTTCATTCCCCCAAATGCCCAAAATGGCCGAGGTCAGCGTCAGCCAGGCTGAAGGCAGCGGCTGGGGACTCCGTCCACGTCTCCCGCGTGGCTGGCAGGGACCCCGATACTTGAGCCATCACGGCTGCCTCCCAGGGTGCGCACTCAGCAGGAAGCGGGAATCCGACGTGGAGCCAGGCACTGCCACACAGACACCTGCCCATTTCCCACGTCTGCCTAAGCTCTCGGAAGCACCTGCTATTGATCGGCGCGTGCCGGGCGTGGAGGGCTGACTGCACACCTGGCAGGAGGCGCCACCGCGGTGGCGAGTGCTGCGGACCGGCTGTGGTGGGGAGGGGATACAGCGGTTCTGGTTCTGGCGAGGGTGTGGTTTGTGAGTCTAAGTAGGTGACTGGCGTTTTGGCCAAGACCTTAAATAAGGCGGCAGGCCCTGAGGGTGTCTGGGCTAGGGGATCAGGGGCCATGCCCGAGGTTGCCCGTGTGGCTGGGAGAAGCCCAGGTCAGACCCTAAGGGTGTTGCCGTCTCTGACGTGGGGGCCACACAAGGACCTCGGCTTTGGCAGTGCCGCAGAGCGGCCAAGGAACAGTTCTGAGCAGAACAGGGGTGCAGCTAGGATTCTTGTGGTCGCGGCCTCTGCTGGCCCCCGAGGTCAACAAGACCCTCACTCCAGCTCCTTACTCTGGTCTAGAATGTGCCACGTGGACGCCGGTTCCACACTGCTGCTGCTGTCGCCTTTTTTTTTTTTTTTTTAAAGACTTTTTCATTTGAAAGACAGAGAGAGAAATCAATCTCCCGTCCACTGGTTCACTCCCTAAAAGGCCCCAACAGCCAGGAAGGAAGCCAGGAGCTTCATCCGGGTCTCCCACGTGGGTGCAGGGGCCCAGGCACTTGGGCCATCGCCTGCTGCTCTCCCAAGCACATTAGCGGGGAGCTGGACCGGAAGTGGAGTGGCCGGGACTCAAACTGTGATGCTGGCCACGTGAGCAGCAGTTCAGCCCGCAGACCACAGCGCGGCCCCCTCTCTTCTGTTGTAAACACTGAAGATTCCGATTTCCAACCACCACCAGACTCACGGCTCCTTCCAGAACTACACATCATTTCGGGACAGCAGCCCCCAGGGGCTCCCTCCAGCAGGCCTGACTCGCGCCCCCACGGCGGGGAGGCACTGTGCGCCCACGGCTCTGAGTCGCCGTTCACGTCTTCTTTGTTTCCCAGAACCCTCTGCGCTCCTGGCTCCAGTCCCCCGACCGCAGGCTCCCCTCCGTCGCACCCAGAGCTGTTGCAGGGGCCACGCCCGCCTCACCTTTTTCTGTAAGGCGCAGTGAAATACGAAGATGAAGACGCCCTGGAAGGCATTGAAGGTGGTGAAGAGATAGGCCATGACCACCGACTCCTTGTTGATGAAGAGGAGCCCGAACGCCCAGGTGAGCCCCAGCAGGAAGAGCAGCGCGATGGCCCCCAGGGCCCAGGACCTAGGGGTGGGCGACAGGCATGGCAGAGGACCTGCCCCTGGGCACAGCCTCCGCCCAGGGTCCCCGCCATGTGCCTCCTGTGGAGCGAGGACAGCCCTCGGGCGGGCGCGGGCAGCATCTGCAGAGACCCTGCCCGATGCGGGAGCTTGGAGCTCCAGGTCCGGGGACGCAGTCTTCCCCAGGGACACGGGTGGCCCGGCCCGGCCCAAGGGGCAGGCACTGATGTGGGGGTTGGGGGCTTCTTAGGACTGTGTTTTCAGGGCCTCAGTGGACGCGGGCTTGGCATCTGCTCTCACCCTAGGCCTTTACAGCGCTAACACCACAGGGTGGCAATCCCAAGGGTATGCTTTCCTTTTAAAAGGCGTAGAGAGACAGGCAAGAGACACCTTTGTTCACTCCCCAAATGCCCACGACAAGCAGAGCTGGGCCAGGCCGCAGCCAGGAGCCCAGAACCCGATCCAGATGCTGGCATGTCAGCAGGGACCCCCGTGTAGGAGGCTGGCTGTGGCACGGGGTGGCAGGGGCACTCACTTGATGTTGTCGAGGCGACTGGAGTCGGGCTTGAGGACAGAGGAACTCCGGATCATCTTGTGCAGGGTCACCATGAGAAACACCAGGTTCACCTGGGGGGGGGGGCGGGCACAGCAGCTGGGCTGAGCGGCCCCCCCGCCGGCTGCTCAGGTCCCACGTTGTTTTCAAACCAGCCCCTCCCCCTAAAGGCTCAGGGAGCCGGCAGGGGGGCTGGGGGCCGGGGGTCTGCCCAGCTTACCACGATCACAAACGAGACAGGCCCGATGAAACTCCAGATGAAGTAGTTGTCCACCCGGAGCCAGCAGCTGTAAAGGAGACGGGGCCACGGTCGAGAGGGGGCGAGGGGCGCTGGCGACTCCCCGGGGGGCCGGGCAGGAGGAGGGGAGACACTCACGCCTTCTCGGTGCCGTAGCTGCGGTAGTCGATGGCGGCCGCGATGCCCACCACCAGGGCCGGGAAGCAGTAGCCGCCCACGTAGTAGTACTTGGTGCGGGAGTACTCGCTCTCGAACACCTCCACCAGCAGCAGGTACAGGTGCACGCCCTCCAGGCACAGCCAGGAGAAGGCAGCCAGGAAGAAGTAGTGCAGCAGGCCAGCAAAGATGGGGCAGGCGATCTGGGGGCAGCCCGGGCGCACACGTCAGTGGCCGCCCCAGCCCCCGCCCCGGGCGCCCCCGGCCGGGCCGGCCCCTGCCCCGGCCCACCTCGTACTGCGTCTTGTCTATCCCGACCAGGAAGAGCAGCTCGGCCAGGAAGAGGTTAATGCAGAGGTTCTTGTGGATGGTGTTGCGGTCGGTCTGCAGCCCCCGAAGGAAGCAGAAGGTGGAGATGCAGATGGCCAGGCACACCAGCGAGATCACGATGCCCACCCACGTGATGACCGACAGCAGCAGCTCGTTGATGCGGCCCTGGTACTGGGGGACAGGGCCGGGGGCGCGCTCAGGCCTCTGGCTGCGGGGCCACGGTGCACCAAGCCCCAGGACGACACGGGCGACACCAGCTCGCTTCTCCAGAGGGCCTGACCCAACCCTGACCGGAGAGGACCAGGGCGAGACGGGTGGGGGCCGGGCCGCCTTCCCTGGCACCACCCCCCTCTAGGGAGCACGCAGAGCTTACGATCTCGCGGTGAGCCATGAGCACCGCGAAGTTGGTGAGGTGGCTGCAGGCACACGTGGTGTGGGTCTTGTTGGACTCCACCAGGCGGCAGCCCTGGGTCGACCAGTAGCCCAGCATGGATCGCTCCGAGTAGTTCCAAAAGGAGCAGTTGGCGTTGAAATGGTTCTTGGCCTGTCGGGCGGTGGCGGCCGGGGTGTCGGAACCAGGGAGTTCTCATCCCAGCCCTGACACCCAGCTTAGGGGACAGCGTCGGGGGAGTGTCCGGGGCCTCTGTCCAGCATCGGGGGGCCGGGTCTGCAGTGTGGGGGGACAGGTGGGGGGGGCACAGCGCTCACCTCCAGGTGGGCCACGGTGAAGATGACAGGGTCCATGAGGAAGACGCGGCTGGACTCCTTGTTGATGGACGCCGCGATGACCTGCGAGTTCACCACCAGGGAGGCGCCCCCGGGGCCGCCCGCGCCCGCCTCGCCCGCCAGCTTCACCGTGGCGTTCTCCGTGGACAGGAAGAGGCCCAGGTTGTTGTAGAGAATGAAGACAACCTTGACCACTCCTGGGGGCACAGCACAGGGCATGGGTGGCTGCCCTCAGCCGGCGCGCGCCGCGGCCTGCTGTGCAACCCTGGGTGAGTCCCTGGCCCCCCAGTGCCTGTGAGCTCCAAGGGCCCGCTGGGCACCAGCCCTGCAAACCTAGGGCTCTGGAGGGCGCTCCGGGGCCCCTTGCGGTGCATGTGAACAGTGTGTGGCACGCGGCAGGGACGGCGGGGTGGAGCCGGGGCACTCACCGTTGCGGCTGTTCTGCTTGATGGTGTTGGCAGACAGCTGGATGGAGTTCTCGCTCGGGTACTCCTGGGGGAACACCAGCTCCTGCACTTGACCTTCCGTGTTCAGGACGGTGACCTCCAGGACTGTGGGCACAGGGCACAGCGGGCCACGCCCAGTTGGGACCTGTTCCCCAGCTGGGGGCCCTGCTGCAGCAGCAGGTTCAAGGTTGAGGGCCAGGGCAGTGGGGGGCAGGTATTTCCCACGGTCTCCAGGCTGGGCAGCGCCGGTCCCAGGGTGCCCACAGCACTCACCCACATTCTGCTTGGCGGCCAGGAAGCGTGCGGGCTCCCGCACGTTGTCAGCCAGCAGGAAGGCCCCCTCTTCCAGGACGTCCAGGAGCATGGTGGCCGTGTGCACCTGCTCCGTGGTGTTCATGTCCTTCCAGGACTCCAGGGCCTCGGGCCGCAGCAGGTTGTCCACCGTCTCCACCACAGCCTGCAGGGGCGGGGAGGGGTGTGCGATGAGTTCCTGCAGGGCGTGGTGGGCTGGGGGTGGGCTGGGGGGTCGTCACCGGGCGCCCGCCCAGGTCTCACCTTGATGTAATCCTTGCAGGTTCTCTCTCGCTTGTGCATCTGCGGGGGAGACGGAAGCGGCGTCAGCCGGCCTGTCTCTGGGAGCCGCTCCCCCAGCCCCAACAAGCTCTCCGCCCTGGAGGGCTCAGTGCACCCCTGGCCCAGGCCTGTGCCGTCAGGAGGAGATGGGTCCGGGGCCATCCAGGGCCCTGGGAGCCCCTCCTATGAGCAGCCCCGCCCGCAGGCCCCACCTTGTTGTAGTTCTTGCCCGCCGACTCGCGCTCGATGGGCCGCAGGGCCTGCAGCTGCGCGTCCAGGATGTCCAGCAACTGTTCCATGAGCCTCACGGAGGACGAGACGTCCCCTGCGTAGATGGAGCCCCGGGTGTGGCGGGCCAGTTCGCTGGCGATGTTGGCCGCGTTCTCTCCGCTCTTGATCTGCGGTGAGTGGGGAAGGGGAGCCCCCAGGCCTGTCAGGGGCCACCCTGGCCTCGCTCAGCTCAGCCCCTCCCCACTTCCTGTCTCCCAGCCCTCGTGCAGGTGCAGGCCAAGGAGGGGACCTCCCGGTCCTGTTCGTCCCCCCAGTCGCTCCACTGCCCCTGCTGGGGCGCTGAGCCCGGCCGCCCAGTGTGCCTGCCTGCGAGGGGCGGTGGCTGCTGGTACCTTCTGGGCCACCTGGTTGACCCAGGGGGAGGTGCAGTTGCTGAGGTCGGGGCCCCGGGGGTTCCAGAGCCCCAGGGCAGGCAGACACTGGAAGGAGGCAATTCCTGTAGGGACAGACGGACAGGGACAGACGAGGGAGCCACCAGGGAGGAGAGGAGGGCAGGGCAGAGACAGAGCAGGAGACAAGACACGGAGAAAGAGACATGGAGCGAGCCAGACAGTCAGAAAGAGGTGTCCCTCCGGCCCGACGGCTGCCAGCCTCGCCCCTCCCACCAGCGCCTGCCAGGAGTGGACCCTTCCGGCCAGACCTGTCTTGAGCCCCGCCCCTCGGATCCCCCCAGGCAGGCCCCTGATCTCCCGCCCCTGCCCCTCCTTCCCCTGCAGGTCTGCTGCTGTGTGGGCTGTGGCTGAGAGCCTTGCTGGGCGGGGCACCCAATGCCAGCGGTGCCCTCGGGGCATCCAGGCTCCAGGTAAGCCCACCGCTCCCATGGCCAGCCACAGCAGAGGTGGCCTTGACCTTGCCACTCACCTCGAGTGCCCTTGGGGCAGGGCCTCTCTACCAGCATGCCCTGCTGGGTGGCTGGCCACTGGACCCGCCGCACCTCTCTGGGTTCGCAGAAGAGCTCAGGGGACACGTGCAGATTGGGGGCTGGGGGCCGCCGGGTGCTGGGAGCTGGGGCCGTGGCTGGGGGCAGGTCAGGTCCCAGCTGGTTGATGGCTCCCACCGGGTGCGTGGTGAGGGGAGCCCGGCGGAGTGGGGTGGTGGCAGCGGGCGAGGCCGTGCTGGTGAGGGGCGTGGGGCGGGCCGTGGTGGTGGTGCTGAGCGGCGGGGAGGTGGCTGGGCCTGGACAGGAGAGAGGATTTTGAGACAGGGTCACCGTGTGCGCAGGGCCCACTGCACGGGCTGTCCAGGTACAAGGCAGCCCTAGGGCTATGTGCGCCCACTGGGGTGGGAAGGTGTCCTTGGCTCCAGGGGACCCTGGGGTCCCACCAGGTATCAGAAGGCGGTGGAAAGGAGAGGAGGGGTCGAGAAGGGGCACTCAGAAGCCCCTTTCCATCCCCCAGGGCTGGTTCTGGTGCGCTGGCCACGCCCTCCCTGTTTGCTGGTCCATTTCTCGTGCACCAGGCTGGCTGACATGGGGCCGCTCAGAGCCAGCACCAGGCAGCACCAGCATCAGCGGCTCTGCCAAGATCTGGGTTGATTCAAGGACCAAACGCACCCGAGCCCCTAGGAGAGGCGGCGTGGTGCGTCCAGGGCCTGGGAGCCCCAGCTCAGACCCCGAAACAGACAGGCGGCCCCCCTACCCGCCGGGGCCTCTGCTCCCTCATCTACCAAACGGGAACAGCGAGGGTTTCCGCCTCACACAGTGAACAGCGTCTGTCACGCGTGGGGACGCGGTGGGTCCAGCAGGGCCCCCCACCCCGGCCCGGGGAGCAGGCGCGCAGGCGCCCGGCACCCTCACCAGCGCTGGGGTCGGGCGGCCCAAACTCCAGGCTGTAGCGCACCACGAAGTAGTTGTTCCACACGTAGAGCTGGTTGTCACGCGGGTTGTAGTCCACGGAGGACACGAACTGGTAGGGGTTGGGGAAGGCCAGGCTGACGGGCTCCTCGCGGTTGGCGTTGGTGTTGAAGGCGTAGTCCACGCGGTTGCCGGCCGCCTCGCTGTCATCGTCCACGTAAACGGAGCGCAACACGTAGAGCACGCCGCACACCATGAAGGCGTTGGAGGCCGAGCGCTTGTCGTAGCCGGTCTCCCACGTGCCCTCGAAGCGCAGCGTGTAGGGGTTGAGCTGGCTCACCACCAGCCGTCCGCTGTTGCCCTCGGTGGCGTAGATTACCCACAGCCCGTTCTCGTCCACGGCCAGGTCAATGTCGGTCTTGCCGCCCCAGCGGTAGGGCGACGTGTCGTGGTAGTTGGCCGTGTTGATCACCGTCTCCCCGCTCTTGATGCGCGTGCGCAGGTCGTACTTGACGATGTTGCGCGTGCGCTCCTTGTTGTAGAAGACGGCGCCGTCGTAGACCACAAAGCCCGTGCCGTCCACGCGGTTGGGCAGGCGGTAGGTGGTGGTGTGGCGCGCGGCCACGTAGTCCTCCCACGAGGCGTACTCGGTGAGCGTGTCGGTGCGGTAGGGGATCCAGGGCATGACATAGATGCGGTCGCCCGCCTGCAGCGGGTCCTTGCACCACGCGCCCGACTGGTGCTCTGACTCATGCGTCGACGTGGGCTCCAGCACCTTCTGCAGGGTCCCCGGGCACACAAAGACTGGGCCGGGCGGGTGGGCAGGAGAGGGTGGGGGGGAGAGACAGAGGCGAGGGCGGGAGAGAGGGGAAGAGAGAGGCGAGTTGGTCACACGGCCAGGGGGAGCCGGGCTGTCCCCTCCTGCTGCTGCAGTCACGGTTGCTTGGTAGGGCTGGTGATGGGAAGGGGTTTCCGGGCTGGGACCCCCGCCCACCCAGCTGCCCCTCTCCCTGGAGCTGTGAACCCTAGAGGCCATCAAGAACAGGGTTAGTGTGGGGAGTTGGTGCCCTTCTTCCCTTCCTGGCTGCTGGAGACCCCACAGGCTGGGGGTGAGGGCTTTGGCAAGAGCCCCCCAGGCGCGGTCTGTGTGATGGAAGTGGAGGCGGAGAAGCCCCCGCTGCAGGTGGCTTCTGGCTTTGCCGGTCCAGGACCAACCACCCAGCCCCTCCTCCCTGGTCTCTGCGTCCTATGAGAGAACTGGGGTCGGGGGGGAGGGTCGCATCCCTCACCAACCGCATCACCACTGTTTGGGGGGTTTGGTTTGGTTTTCAAACTCCACTTCGTTCTGCAAAATTCGCAAAGTAGAGCCATGTTGCTGTCCCCACTGTGGGTGTCAGGAGCACCCCCGTTCCAGGGTGAAGGTCCCACAGGGCGGTGGCGCCCTCCGCCGAGTTCCCCCCAAGTCCTTCCGCCTAGGAAGGCAGCTCCCCCATAGGCTAGGCTAGGGACGAGCCCCGCCCCTCCCCGCCCCCGGCGCCTGGCCCCGCCCCCAGCCGGCAGGGTCTCTCGGGTTGGCTCAGCAGCAGTTACTGACCCTGGTGCACAGGGGGTGAGTGGGGACAGGGGAGAGGGACCGGACTCCTGGGAGAGTTGGGGAGGGGGGAGACGAGCTGCGCGGAGGGAAGAGAGACGGGGAAGGGAGGGGGCTTGGGAGGGGGGGCTCGCCGAGGTCCCGGCTCCGAGGGAGGCGCTGCAGACCACCTGGGAAGAAAGGGTTAGAGCTGGCGAGGAGAAAGGGGTGAGCAGAGAATTCACGCCAAGGCCCAGGCCCGACTGAGGGTCCCTTCGAGGGGGCAGTCCCAGGTCCAGCTCGGAGGGGACAAGGAGGGGAACCAGTGCTAGGATAAAGACCCAGCCCGCCCCAGCCAGGCCCCCCCGCCTCCCCTGCCCCGGACCCCGATTTACCTGCGACCATCCCCGGCTCGGGAGGAGAGGCCAAGGCAGCGCTGATGTCAGAAAGGTGGGGGGCCCCGCCCCACCCCCCCATTCCCTGAAAAGGAGGAAAACCTGACTGCATCTCGTTGGCCGCCGCCGGCCTGCCCCCCCTCGCCCGCGCGCCGCGCCACCGCCTCCTGGCCACCCTCACTGATCTCGTGGGCTCAGTGCGCCCGCCCCCCCAGCCAGGGGCACGGGGCCTCCCTCTCCCTTCCCTGTCAGCAGAACCCCTAGACAGGCCAGGGCCAGGGCTCGGGGTGTGTGTGGGGGAGGGGTCTGCAGTGAATTCTCTGCTCCTGCTTGGCTGGGCACCCAAGCAGCGGGGTGGGGTGGGGGGGCGGTGGGGGAGGGGGACAGGGAGGGCCGGGACCTGGTGCTGGCTCTGGGGGCAAGAGACAGGCGGCAGCACTCGCTTCCTAGCAGCGGGGCCAGCTCGGCTCCCTGTGTCCCCACAGGCAGCCTGCCCTGGCTCGGGGTTTTCCGTAGGGGTAGGGGGCCCAGGTCCAGCCACCTCCCTGTCCCCCATGCCCGCAGCGGGTGGGCCTGCACCCTCCGTCCAGCCCAGAGGTCTCCCCCCAACAGGCGTCTGAGTGTGCGTTTGTGTGGGTGCAGGGGGTGGTGGGGAGTTCTCACAGCCTGAGCCTCTCAGGGGTGGGGGTGGGGAGGAAAAATGCAGTTAACAGCTGAGTCCCGGGGAAGGGGAAGAAGATGAGGAAGGGTCTGCCTGGGGCCTTGGACAGCAAGAACCCCCTCCCCAGCACCAAGCCCCCAACGCCTCCTCTTCCCTGTCCTCCCCCCCTCCCCCCCATCCCTGGAAGAGGAGAGATCCGGTGCTGCTGCCAACCGCGGGGCCTGGAAGAAGGAGCGGCCGGGAGAACGGGGAGGCTCCGGGGTCGGAGAGGAAGTGAGAGAGTGGAGGGGGTCGGAGAGGCCCCCCGGGGGGGGGAGGGGAGCAGCTCAGGGGGACCCCGCCCCGCCTTCCTCAGGGGATGCTCCACAGACCACCGTAATTTCCAGGCCTGCAGGCCTCGGCCGTGCCCCCTGCTCCAGATCTGTCCCCAGATTCCCAGAACTTCCTGGGGAGGAAGTGGCCACCCCCAATCGCTCCCTGCCCCGCCCCGCCCCCCACTTCGGCTGCAGCCCCTGACCTTGGAGTTCTCAGTGAGAAATTACGGTGCTGGTGGAAGTCCCCAGACCAAGTCTAGGCCCCGCCCCCTCCACCCCGCCCCTCCCCCTGGTCCTCTGACCACAACAGCCCAGAAGAAACCTTGACTGCAGCGTTGCAAGTGCAAGAGAAACAGAGCAGCCCCCTCCCCACGCCCCCCTCCAGGAACCCCGCCCCGCCCCGCGCCCTGTTTGCTCTTTGAGGGGGGCAGGCTGCCCCCTCCCAGGGCCGGGTCCCCAGCAGGTCAGGGGAAGGATGGGGTCGGGGGTGGGGTGGGGGGACTGGTGCTCCGTGCTCCAGACAGCTCAGGGCCTTGGGAACGCCAAACCAGAAAGAACAGAACCAGCCAGACGGGAATCTGCTCCCCGAAAGGAAAACAAACCAACGTGGCCCCCTCCCTCCCGCCCACCCCCCCCAACCAGAAACACGTTACAAAAGGAGGTGCGAGGGGAGAGGCGAGGAGAGAGTGGGAAAGAGAAAGAGAGGGAGAGACCCGGCTCGCCCGGCAGGTGCGGCCAGGGAGTCCCTCCCTCCCCACTCGCCCTGGTATCTTACACACTTCTCTCCTGAGGGAGGCAAAAGGGGGGAGGAGAGAGAGAGAGGGCCAGGCTGCCTGCAAGGGCCAGGACCAGGAAGGAGGGCCAGGGAGAGACAGAGAGGGGGCCGGGGAGGCAGAGAGAGAAGCCGAGAGAGAGAGAGATCCTGCCCGAGCTCAGAGAGGAGCTTCCACGGGAATCTGGAGAGTGGAGGTGACCCGGCAGGGCCGGCCCGGGGCAGGGGACACGGCCCGGACCACGTGGGGGCTGGGGGGGGAGGGCGGGTCACATCAGTATGGTACAGGGAGAACCAAGTGTGAGTTAGGGTCAGCATTGGTACAGTTCGTTTACCTTTCTGCTCCACTTCTACTTTAAGCATCGGAAGAGAGAGAGAAAACAAATTGAAAAAAAAAATGTGCAAGAAAAAAAGAGAAAAAAAAAGAGATTAAATTGCTTTCGTGTCTTGTCTGGCCACACGCCCCCTTTTTTCCTCTTCCTTTCCTCGTGCCTGCTTCCCCAACCCCTAGTGCAGCCCCGCCCCCGCCCCCGCGTCCCTCCTCCTGGGGTAGGGCGGGCGAGGGGGTGCCGGGGAGACCATCGGAGGGACAGGGGGACACACGGGGGGGACGGAGACGAAGAGAGACACGGGGTGTGGGGACAGGCAGGTAGGCGGACGGAGCCCAGGTGCGCGGAGGGGGCGGGGAGGGAGGAGCCCCAGCTGGGAGGCGGGCTCTGGTGGGAGGGGCACCAGGCAGTGGCATGGGGGGGAACCGTGGGGCTCCTCTCCCACCCTGCCTGCTGCCCTCCGCTGGAACCAGGGGCCCAGGGGGAAGGGGTCCCGCGTCCCTGGCGGACTGGGCCCCCCCCAAGCCGAGAGGACAGCCCCAACTCCTTGCCCTCGGTGCCAGCCTCACCCACGTCCAGCTGGATCCCCCCACGCCCTCGCGGACTCAGAAGGAGCAAACACAGAGAGAGGGTGGCCGAGCCGGACACAGAACGACAAGAGAGGCGGATGGGCAGGGGCGCACGGAGGCAGAGAAGTCGGGGGTGGGGGGTGGGAGACACAGGCTGGGCAGGACGGCAGGGGGCACAGACAGCTCCCGGACGCGCTCCCCCCACACACACACCCGGGAGGGGGCAGGTCTGAGGCTCGGCCCCTGCCCAGCCCGCCCCACCCCTGCCCGCTGGGGGGTGGCACCTGGGGGAGAAACGGGCGCAGTTAGACTGTGCTGCAAGGCAAATCCAGTGTTAGTCCAGCCTGTCCAGCTGGGGGGGCCACACACCCAGCACCCCCGACCCACCCTTACCAGCACTGGGGTCACCCCGGCTTCTAGAGCCCGGGGCCGGCCGCCCCCCCAACCCGGGCACCTCTGACCAGGGTCTCCCCTCCCTGCCCCCCTCCCCTCCCTTCCACGGCCTGGGCTCCCGGTGCCTCGCCCAGGGCCTGGCTCTCAGGAGGTGCTCCAGGGACACGGGGGACTCCAATGAGCGTCCCGCCTCCGGGCCTCTAAGCCAGCTACTGCCGCCCAGCCCCATCCCTCAGAGCCCTGCCCAGCCCCCCAGGGTCCTCCCGGCTTCTGTGGGCTTTGGCCCTGGCTCGCTCCCTGGGGCTCGGCTCCAGGAGGGTCGCCGAGCTCCACTGTTGCGGGCGTTTGGGGAGTGGGCCAATGGTGGCTGCTCTGTCTGTCAAAAAGATCGAAGATGGACGCCACCCAGGCGATCTTTTGAGGCCCCAGTCTGTGCATGGGGGACCCGAGGCTCACCGCAGGGCAGAAGGTACTCAGCCCTGCAGGTCAGCGCTCCACTCGCCCTCCCCCCCCCCACAATGAAGACAGCGTCCCATCCGCACCCGTGCACCTGCCACTGAGCACATCCTGGACCAGGCCCCGGGGCTAGGCACTGGGGGGCGGGGCAGAGGGGCACCCAGGTGAAAGCTACCAGCAGTGGCCGGGAGCGTCTGGACTCCAGCCCAAGGTCTCAGGGCTGGGACACTCAGCAGCCCAGTGGAGCCCCAGACCACCCCCCCACCCCACCCCAGCCCCGCCCTGCACTGCGCTGGCCGCCTCCCGCCCTCCCCCCTGCTGCCCCAGTGCTGTGGGCGTGGCCTCTAGGAGCAGCCCGGCGTCCCCCTCAGGCGCTGAAAGTAAAGGGCGTAAAGGGCGGGGAGTGAAAGACAAGGTTACGCAAGCATAGGGCAACGGGCAAGCCCGCCCCCCGCGGCCGGTCACACCACCTGCAGGAGAAACCAGAGGGTGAGGGGGGAGGCTGGGGTGGGAGGGGAGAGGAGGGAGAGCGCCAGGGTCTCCTGCTCCCCTGCCCCCTCACTCAGACACCCTGGAGGCCCTGGCTTTCCCCCAATCCTTGCCTGGAGGCCCTACTCGCAGGGTGGCCAGGGGGAAGGAAAGATGGTGGGCGGGAAGGGTGGTGGGTGGGGTGCTCAGCAGAGACCCTGGCTTTGCCGGACCCCAGACCACCTTCCCCAGGCTGCGGGGGGAGGGGGGCACCAATATGGCAGCACTTGCTCTGCAGACAGCAAGTGGCTTCGTGGCAATGGACGGACCAGCCGGGAGCTAGCAATCTGCTGAGGATGCCCCCAGCCCGCCACAAGCACCAGCTCTGGCACCAGGCTTGGGGTGGAGTGGGGGCGCGGGCTGTGCCTCTCTAGGGGTTTACGGTCCAGCTCCCGTGAGTGACAAGGCATGGGCGTGGTGATGTCCAGGAAGTGGGGGAGGGAGGGAGGGGACGAAAGCAAGGGGTTGTGTGAGGCTGGAGGGGCAGCAGGGGCCAGGGAGAGGAGGGGGCGTGTGTGGCAGCGCTGTGAGGGAGGGAGGGGCCCGCGGCAGCAGCACCCGCGGTGGGGGAAGGTGCCTCCAGGGCAGGGGCCCGGCCCTGGGCCGTGTGCACACACGTGGATGTGGGGGGAGATTTGGGGGTCTCCTCCTGGCACTGTCTGGGGGTGGGGGGAGGGGCCCGCGTGCGCACGAGGAACAAGAGGACTCACTGTAGGGGACACAGTCGTACTGCACCTCCAGATACTTGTAGGTCCCGGGGCAGGGGTCGGGGAAGGCGTCGGAGCCGGCGACCACCACGCACTGCGTCCTGTTGTTACACCTGCGGGAAGAGGTGGTGCTGGGGAGGCGGGGCTAGACTGCGGGGGCAGGGCTGGGAGGCGGGGCTAGACTGTGGGCGGGGCTGGGAGGTAGGGTGGGGCGGGGCTAGACTGAGGGGAAAGATGGAGAGAATCTTCCATCTGTTGGCTCAGCTCCCACCAGTGGCCGCAATGGCCACGCTGAGGCCAGGAGCCAGGCCTCAGGGTCTCCCCTTGTGGGTGGCAGGGACCTAAGGACTCAGGCCCAGGTGCAGCGGAAGCGGAGCTGTCCAGGGCGGGCCCGCGGCGCCCCCTGCCTTGTTCACTACACAGCTAACATGAGACACCATGCGCACCAGGGAGCCGGGAAGGCTCCCAGGGTCCACCTGGGACAGCCACCCTCGGGTCCACACCGGAGCTGCCTTGGAACCCCACCAACTTCTCAGGGAGCAGCACAGACGGGCCTCGCCTCTGCCGTCCGTCTGTGTCTATCCGTCTGTCCCCACAGCAGGGCCCCTTGGCCTTGGGCGGGGCTGAGCCTGGCCAGGCGGGAACTACATAGTGGGAGTGGCTGCCCACGGGGGCCACTCACCCCAGAACCCAGCCCTTGACCACTAGGAGAGAGAGACCTGAGAGATGGCTAAGGCGAGCCCAGGGAAGGAGAGAGGAAGATGGGGGTGGGGGTCTGCATATCCATTACCCCCCTTTAAAAGGAGAACACGGGGCCCCCGCTGCGGCACAGGTTAAAGCTGCCGCCTATGACGCCGACCTCCCATATGGGCGCCGGTTCGAGTCTCAGCTGCTACACTTCCAATCCAATTCTCAGCAATGGCCTGGGAAAGCAGTGGAGGATGGCCCAAGTCCTTGGACCCCTGCACCTGCGTGGGAGACCTGGATGGAGTTCTGGGCTCCTGGCTTCAGTCTGGCCTGGCCTTGGCTGCTGTGGGTATTTGGGGAGAGAACCAGTGGATGGAAGATCCTTCCCGCCCTCTCTCTGTCACTCTGCCTTTCAAATAAATCTCTTTTTTGACAGGCAGAGTTAGAGAGAGAGAGACAGAGAGAAAGGTCTTTCTTTTCCGCTGGTTCACCCCCCAAATGGCCGCCATGGCTGGCGCACTGCGCTGATCTGAAGCCAGGAGCCAGGTGCTTCTCCTGGTCTCCCATGCAGGTGCAGGGCCCAAGCACTTGGGCCATCCTCCACTGCACTCCCGGGCCACAGCAGAGAGCTGGACTGGAAGAGGAGCAACCGGGACAGAATCCAGCGCCCCTCAAATAAATCTTAAAAAAATTACAAACGTGGTGAATTTCTCATCACTTCTATGAAAGGAGAAAAACGCCCACAAGGGCACTCGGCTTTGCTAGCTGTCAAGTGCACGTGACCAGGTTCTGACCAATGGGGAGAGTGGGTGTGGCCAGGGCCGTCCTCAGGGGCGGGGCTTGGACCCCTCGCATTGTGCTGGTTCCTCAGGCTCTGAGGGTTCCGCCTGGGCGGCTCAGACCCAAGCGCAGACGCCGGGGGCCGGCACCGGGGCCTGGCGAGTTCAGCCTCGGCCTTTGCTGCCCGCGTCCCCTATGGACGCGGGTTTGTGTCCCAGGCGCCTCCCATCTGGCTCCCCGCTAGTGCGCCTGGGAAATCAATAGCCATGGGCCTCCGTGCTTGGACCCCAGCACCTGCGTGGGAGACCCGGGTGGAGCTGCTGGCTCCACCCTGGGCATTGCAGCCACCTGGGGAGGGAACCTGCCTGCCTCTCCCTCTCTTTCGAATTCTGATTTTCAAATAAATAAATAACAGTATTCCAGGCAGGGCGGCACTCAGAGGCAGGTTCGGCCGAGCCCGGCGGGGTGCGGGAAGTGGGAGTCAGAAGCCGGGCAGGGCGTGCAGGGCCCCGTGGGTTAGGAGGAAGGCTCTGGCTTGTGTCCGGAAGGCGCCGGGAGCCACAGGCGGCTCCCAACAGGGGCAGGAGGGGACCTGACTCGCTGGCACCCCCTGGTGGCCAAGGGGGAAAGTACACACTACACACAGGCGCTCGGGCTCCTGCACACGCAAACGCGCCCGTGCACACACACACACACGCCCCTGCACGCTCCCTGGCACGTCTGTCATCTGTGTGCCGCCTGTCCGCTCCTCGGACAAGCCTGGTGACAGGTCAGGGGTCAAAGGCCGTCCTTCTAGCCCGAAGACTCCACGCCAGCACCCGCGATGCCTAGACCCCTGGAGGAGAGTTTGGAGGAGGCAGGCGGGGGGGGGGGGGTTCATTAGCCTCTCAGACACGGAGAGGGGAGGCAGAGGGGGCACCTACACCCCACACGAGACCCAGATGGCGCCCCGGCCCCCGGCTGGGGCACAGGGGCGACCGGGAACGCGCACGCGCGCACCTCTGCGACATGATCTTGAACGCGTCAGGCAGGTAGCACTGCACGTTCTCCATCTGGAAGGGGTCAGCGTCGCAGATCTTGTCGTCCGTGCGCCCGTAGTTGGCGTTCTCCACCATGATGACGTCGCTGCCCGGGCAGCGCAGCTCGATGGGGTACCCCTCGCACGCCAGCTCCCGGCGCATCAGCCCGAAGGGGAGCCCCGCCCGGCTCAGGCCTGCGGGGAGAGGGCGGCGGCGGCGTCACGCCAGGCCTCCAGGGTGGCCCTCGGGGTCGGGGTCCCCGCGCCAGACGTCCCTCACCCCCAGCCAGGGAGCACAGACCGGGCAGTGAGCACGGGTCAGGGACCTCAGGCCCAATGGCCACGGAGATCTGGTCCCCCACCCCCGCCCGGGGGCAGTGCGGCGGAGCCTCCCCAGAGAGAGGGGGGTTTTTTGGGGTGAGCTGAGCGGGTCCCGGCTGGGAGAAGTCTCACACGTGTTCCAGCCACACCATCTGCCTGCTCATCTAATTTTAGGCTTGCTGGGGGGAGGGGGGTCTGGGAGGGAAGGCCGGGGGTGGAGGGCTGGCTCACATGGGTCTGGGGGCGGAAACCGCCCCTCGCCAGCCCAGCCGGGGCCGGGTGGGCAGAGAACACCAGAGGAGGCCAGGCTGGCTGCCGGCTGGCTGGCCGGAGCCGTGCCAAGGTCCTGGGGCCACACTGAGCGTCACCTCCATCTCTGCACAGGAGGAGGAAGAGGAGGATGCAATGGGGGGTGGTCAGAGCCCAAAGCCGCCCACCGCCACGGGCACTGCTTATCTGGGTCGCTGGCCCCAGGGTGGGGGTGGGGGGCAGGATCTGGGGGCCTAATTAGTCGTTTTTTAACTAAACGTCAGGCGGCTCACTTTAATTAGGCCTTTTTCCCAGTGAGAGCCGAGAAAGGTGATCACAGGGAGGGGGCGGGGTCTCCCACGGGCCCCAGGAGGCCGCAGCAGGCACCTGAGCACCTTACCTTGGGTGGCCGAGGTGACCAGTACGGCGGTGACACACAGACTCCAGAGCACGGCGGCCAGGCGGGCCATGGCGGCGGCCGGGGGCGCGTCCGGGGCTCTCAGTGGCCTGCGCCAGGGGCCTCGCCCCACATCACCAGGCGGCCACCACGGCCTGGCCCACCAGCCTGCGAGGACATGGCAAGTGAGGCAGGGACAGCGGCCGGCCCCCCACCCCAGCGGGGCCCCGGCTAGGGGTGGGGGGCTACACTGGAGCCATCACGGCCTGCCTGCTGGCCACCCAGGGGCTCCCACCTGCAGCTAGGGGGCAGCGCTACCACCTGCAGCCACGGGCGGCGCTAGAGCCTGCTGGCCGCCCAGGGGCTCCCACCTGCAGCCAGGGGGCGGCGCTACCACCTGCAGCCACGGGGCGGCGCTAGAGCCTGCGCTGCCCGCCTGGGAGCTTCCACCAACAGCTGGGGGCGGCACTTCCACCTGCAGCCACGGGGCGGCGCTAGAGCCTTCGCTGCTCTGCAGTGGGGACCACGCCCCACGTTCCCTCTGCCTCCTGCACCTCCTCCGTTCGCCCCCAGGCTCCCGCGGCTGACAAGGGTCCCCTTGCGACCCTCCTGCGTCCCAGGGCCTGGGTGTCCTCCCAGCGAGGGGCTCTTCTCCCACCCCCACCCTGCCTCACCCAAGCCCCTGCCTCCTGTATACAGTGCTTTGGCCACTACTTAGCACCCAGCTGGCTGGAGCCACAGAGCTGGGACCGGGACGCCCAAGTCCCCACCTCCCCCTTGGGGAGCCCCTCGGGGTGAGCTGGAGACAGGCAGGCGGGGTGGGGGTAGGGGAGACAGAAGTGACCCTCCTCCCCCACACTGGGGCCTACACCGGTGCCCACCCCTGCCCCTTTCTCACAGCCACTCTGCTTGCCCCCTCTGCCCTGCAGAGACAGGACCAAGCCCCTCCCCTGACCCTCACCACCCCCTTCTCAGCACTCTCCCTCCCCCCACCAGCCTGTCCTACGGGCTCCACGCAGCCCCTACTTCCGTTTCCCACCCCCCCACCCTGGGGCCAGTGGTCCCCTGTCCTGCTCCGGCTGCTCCTGCTCTTCCTCGTCCGCCCCAGGACCTTTGCACTGGCTGCTTCCTCCCACGACTCTGGGCTCCTTCACAATGCCATGGAGCTATGGGCCTGGCGTGCGGGACGCCCCCCTGCATGCTCTGCTCATGGGGACCACGCCAGGCACCAGCATTGAATTACCACCCCGACCGCTGTGACCAGTCCACTTCCCAGCCGCCCCCCCCCCCCCACGCACGCACACAGAGCTCAGGGGTCGCTGAGCCTTCTGGGGTCTCGGCTCCTCACCCGGGGGCCTGGGTTTGATGCCACCAAGCTCACCGGCCCCGTTCCCCCTGCTGTCCCCGGAACTTCCCAGCCCCGCCCCTTTGACTGACAGCTGTCCTGGAGTGGGGAACTCACCACTGGCCCTCAATAAACAAAACATTGGGGCCCGGCGCTGTGGCCTGGCCCCCACCGGGCTGCCGGTTTGAGTCCCGGCTGCTCCACTTCCCATCTAGCTCTCTGCCACGGCCTGGGAAAGCAGTAGAACATGGCCCAAGTCCTTGGGCCTGTGCACCTGCGTAGGAGACCCGGATGGAGCCCCTGGCTTCAGTCCGGCCCAGCCCCCAAGCCTCCCTCGCATGCCCACCCCTGACTACACTGCAGGAGGAGGGGGATTCTTACCACCTTTTCCTGGCCCGGCTCCCGGCCAGGGTCAGGTCCACGGGGTCTCCCCGAGTCCTGTCCCAGGCGTCAGGAGCAGGCGGAAGTCGGGTTAGGGGCAGGGAAGTCAGGTGCTGGGGGCAGCTGCCCCACGTGACTGCCCTGCACACCGTGTGACCTTGACCTGGTCGCTTCCCCGCCGGTTGCCTTAGGGCTGCTCAGCCGCAGGGTTCTGGTTGACACCGGGCCAGCTCGGCCAGCAGAGGGCGCTGTCCGTGGCACCTTCTGGGGGCGGGGCGAGGAGGGCGGGCCTCGCCCCTTCCCCACCCGGCATCAAGGTTTCAGGTGCCCCCTACTTGGGAAGCCCTCCACCATTCTCTTATCACTGTCCACACCTCCAGGGCGGAGGAGGGGGGCGGGAGCGGGGGGGGGGGGGGCGGTCTCTGCTTTGTCTTCAGCCCCACCCACTCAAACCAAAGACCCAGGGGGTCAGTCGGGGGTGCCCCACCCAAACCGCAGGAGCAAAGATCCTGCCTCCTCTTTCTCCCTAAATCCAGCTCTGGAATAACCCCTGGGCTCTGTCCACACCACAGGTCACCCCAGCATTGGTTCCCCGCCCCCAAGCTGACCCAGCAGCTGTGCCTCTGGTCATAGGCCCTGCTGGCTTCCCAGATGTCCCCCGGCCCTTTGATTGCTAAAGTAGTAGGCTAAGTCCCATATCCAGGGCACAGGTTCGAGTCCTGGCTGCTCCACTTCTGGTCCAGCTCCCTGCTAATGCGCCTGGGACAGCAGCAGGTGCATGGACCAAGAACTTGGGCCCCTGCACCCACATGGAAGACCAGGATGGAGCTCCTGGCTTCAGCCTGGCCCAGGAACTGCATCCGGGTCTCCCACATGAATTGCAAGGACCCTGGGTCCATTTTGCCCTGCTGTCCCAGGCGCATTAGCAGGGCGCTGGACTGGAAGTGGAGCAGCCGGGACTCAAACCAGCACCCGTATGGATACTGGATTTGCAGATAGCGTCTTTACCGGCTATGCGACCGTGCTGCCCCCTCTGCCCCCACCCCCAAAACGACCTGGACAAGTTGCTCCCCTCCCCTCCGACCCCGTGGCTCCCCCCCCCCCCCACACACACGCAGCCTCAGCCTGCCCCTGGGCTGGGAGCCGGCGCCGACAGCCGGGACAGAGCGCCCTCGCCTGGCGGCTGAGAGACATTGCAGCTCCGTGTTGGGCGGCAGGTGCAGGGTCCAGCAGCCTCCCGGCCATGGCCGCGTCCCCGTGTGCATGGAGGGACAGACCCTGGCCGCTCCTCCGTCCATCTGGGGGACCCCACGTCCACCCTCTTACCCTCCCCCATTCCTTGTCCCCTCATATGGCCCCTAGACCACGTAGCAGGCCCCCAGATCCAAGCTCACACAGGAATCATAACTTTGGGGGACCCTGCTCACCCCGGAACAGCAAACTGCCGGGAGGGGGCGGGGCAGCGGCCACTTCAAGTGCCTTCCACGGGTCACTCACTGGATCAGGGACCCCCAACTGATAAAGAGGGCGCGGACTCGAATCCAGGCCTGGGCAGGGGAAGGGGCCGAGGGGGCACACTGGGCCCACACCTACCAGTCAGGTGTCCCCAGCCCTGGGCTCTTGTCGCCTGCGTCCCCTCCTCCCACGCCTGCCGCCGCCACCACCCCCGACTCGGGGCCTCAAGTCTCGAGGGTGGGCGGCTCTGTCCCCGTACGCCCCAGGCTGGGGGGCGGCCAAGGTGCTGGAGAGGGGGCGCCGCCAGCCTGCGTTGCCACAGCAACCTGCCTCCCGCAGGCGACAAGGGCGGCTGGGGGTGGGCGTCTGCGCCCAGCCGCCAGCCCCTCCTGCCTCAGCCCACACCCCAGACGCCGCCTCCTCCAGGAAGCCTCCCCACCCCCACCCCGTGGAGCCAGGGCAGGGGTCCAGGGACCCAAACTCTTGGGTCTGAGTCTGCTGTGTGGCCCTGGACGGGGGTCTTGGCGTCCCTGAACCCACTGGCCATCTCGCTCTGGTACAAAGCCCTACCTGGGAGAGACGAGGCGAGGACCCAGGGTGCCCAGGGGTGCTGGGGGCAGGGCAAGGGTCCCCGAGGACCCCAAGGCCCAGGTGCTCAGGCTCCAGGCAGACTCGGGGTCCTTCTCTCCTGCACACCCCCCACCCCCCAAGTCACTTCACACTGCTCCTTGGCCCTCCCCGCGGAGCCCCCCCCAAGCACCTGCCCTCCCCTCTCCACGGTCCCTCCCCTCCAGCAGCCACCAGAGGCGCTATGAGCACCTCCTGCAGGTCCCTGCTGAGCTCAGAACCCTCCAGGGCTCCCAGCTGCCAGGCACACACACCTGCCCCAGGGCCCTTGCACGGGCCGAGCCTGCTTCCGCAGCCACCCACCCAGCTCCTCTGTCTCCCTCGGGTCTTTAGAAGCTCCTGGTGCTCCCACGCCTGCCCTGTCGAGCCCAGGGGGTGACACAAGGAGGTGAGGCAGGCATGGGGGAGGTGACCAGGGAGGCTGTGTGGGACCTTGTGGGCCTTGGGAAGAGATGAGCTCCCATATGGATGCCACAAAGCAGGGGCTGGCATGCGTGTGCATGAGACAGCGTCTGGGAACCCGTGTACAGGCCACTGCCAGGTCCCCGTGACGGCCGCCTCCTCCGGACAGTCCTCCCAGACTTGCACACCTCAGCAGGCTGGTGGAGCCCTCACAGCGAGCACTGTCCACCCTCCAGGTGCCCCCCCAAGCTCCCCCGGTTCATGCCAGGCAGTGGGAACCAGACCAAAGAAGTCGATTCTGGAGCCGTAGAGGGAGGGGAAGCCAGGACAGGGGGTGGAACTTTTAGAGAGAGTGACTGGCGCTTTGGCCGCGGTGAGGCAGCGGCCTTGCAGGTGCGCTCTGAGGAGACACAGGCTGTGCAGAGGCCCTGGGGCTGATCAGGCCACGGCAGGGTTAGGGGGACCTGGTGAGGGGTTGCGCAGGGCAGGAGGCAGCCAATTACAGATGGACAGGTCACCGCCCATCCCGGGGCCAGGGAGTGAGCCAAGAACAGGGTTTTAATATTTTTTAAATACACCTTTCTTTAGTTCCATTTTATTTGAAAGGCCCAGCGACAGAGTCCTTGCGTTGCTGGGTCACTCCCCAAAGGCCCACAGCACCCAGGGCTGGGCCAGGAGCTCCAACTGTCCCACACAGCAGCAGGGACCAGGCGCTTGGGCCAGCACCTGCTGCCTCCCGGGGTGCGATTGCGTAGGGAGCTGGCTGGGAAGTGGAGCAGCCAGGACTCCGCCCCTGGTTACAATGGGGGGAGGAGCCAAGGACGTCCAGGGGCGGGGCTAATGCCGTCCAGGGGCGGGGCTCAGGGCAGCCGCTCTAGGGGCTGCCTTCAGGGCTGGCCCCCTCCAGAGATTGCAGTGGCCCGGATGTCAGCGGTGTCTCCCTCCAGCCTGGGGTTCCTCGTGGGCCACACAGGAGCACCCACTGGGCGCCAGCCCCTCTGTGACCTGTGGGGGGCTCTGGTTATTTTTAGCTAGGGGGGGAAGGGAAGCAAGGCTATTTTTAGCTTCTCTATTGAATTTTCATCTCCCCCTGGTTTTCATGAATGCCCCTTGCTGTGCAGCCAATGACCCGGGGGCCAGGGGCGGAGCTAAATAAGGGTGAGGGTCTCTTTCTAGAGGGGTGGGCGGTGGAGTTGGGGAAGCGGATGTTTGCCAAGGGGGTCCCCCACTTCCTGTTTTGGGATCTGAACTTGCAAGGGCACACAGCCGCTTGGGGGAACCACTTGCCCAGCCCAGATTCATTCACGCGTCTGTGTACCCCAGGGTACCCCCAAAGGGGACACACACAGGGGCTTGGAGTCTTTAGAGAGAGGCCCCTCCCACTCGTCCAGGCTGCAAACAGGACCCCTGAGTACGGGTGCCTGTCAAGGTGAGGTGTGAAGGCACAAGGGCAGCCAGTGACCGCTTGTGCAAAGGCACTGGGGTAGGGCGGTGATTGGACTGGTGGACGCACATCAGCACAGGAGGAGGGGACACAAGGTCAGCCCCGCCCCCCAGGACTTCTCCAGCCTGGGCCTGACGCAGTGGGGGGACCCACGCAGGGGAGGGGGCTGTGAGGGGATGCCCTCCCCCCAACCCCAAGCCTTCTGAACTCCCACAATAGAAGCCCCCTGTGTGCAATGCCTTATGGCGAAACCATGAGCTCCCGGCATGGACAGGACCCGGCCGCTGTCTGTCCACCGTCCCCAGCATGGCGCGCCCCGCACGCAGAGCCGCTGGGAGAGGAGGCGCGAGGGGCCCGGGTGCGGGGAGCACACACCTGAGCGCGCCACCAGGGCCGTGCACACAGGAGATAGACAGCCCCGTGGGCGCGCGTGCCGACGGCTGCTCCAGCGAAACTCACACACACACTGGCCGGCCACCAGGGCCGCGTCCACAAGGGCGGGTCACCGTCCCAGCCACACCTGCGCAGAGCAGGTGCACACACACACAGACACACACCTGCCAAGGGGCGGGATTTCCTGTCTCTGCTGAACCCCCCTCCCCACCCTGGAACCCCAACTTTCTGTTCGTCTGATAGCAGGCACTCTTTGCCCAAAGCAGAGTCCAGGGTCCCCGTCAGGGAAACTCCCCCCACCCCCAGCCCCGACCTCTAGGACCCCTCCCCCCTGCCCGCCGGCCGCCTCCCCACGGACCCGGCGGCGTCTGGAAATCGGATCTGATCCAGAGAGAAGAGCCCACACAGAAACTAGAGCCTGGCACGTCCTTGGCTACCCGTCTGGCTGGACGGCTGGGGGAGTGGGAGCAGGGACGCCCCCAGACCCAGGCAGCGCGCGCGCACGCGCACAGACACACACACAGACACGTCAGGTGGAGCCGCCACTGCCACCAGCCAGGAGCCCAGAGCAGCACAGGCACCCACACGGGGCCCCTCCCGCAGGTGGCCAGGGCGGCCGGGTGGGGGTGGGGGCCTCCTGGGCGCCCCCCCAGGAGAAGGGGCTCCCCTGGGCAGGCTGGGAATAGAAACCAAGCCTCCCCCGCTCCCAGCTCCTCCCTGACGCCAAGCCCCAGGTGTGCTGGTCCCCGGCGCATGTCTCGTGGCTCCAGCCCCGCTGGAGTTACGCGCGACGCTCCCACGAGTGGGGCTCGGGGGGCGCAGGCGGGCGGGGGTGGGGGCAGGAGGGCACGGCGTGGCTCCTAGAAGGCCCTTGCCCAGGTCACCGAGAGGAGTTCGGGTTAGAAGAGAGATGGTGGCAGGTGCCCGGCTGGCTCCCACGTGCGCGCGCGCACACACACACGTAGGTGGCTCCGGGCACGCGCACCGTCGCCCGCCAACCGTGGAAATCCGTTCCCTTTCCCGCTTCCCAGGTGATCTTTCATCTCGCTAAGGAACGGCAAGACCGCGGCTGATTTTTCTACACGGTCTCCTCCGTCTCCCTGCGGTCCCCCCGCGATTCAGAGCGGGGAAGTGGGGAGGGGGGAGGGGGGAGGAGCCACCTGTCCCCAAAGCCGGGTCCGCACCCCGCAAACCCACCACCGACCTGGGCAATCCTGACCCCTCACCGGAACCCATCGCAGGCCAGGGAGTCCCCCCATCCCACCCCCCAGGCTGCTGGCACTAGCAGCCCGATTAGGTCTGGGGTCGCCTTAGAGCCCCGAGCCAGCCTGGAGGTCATCGGGCCTCCCAAATAGACCCCCTAACCCCAGGGGCTCCCCTCCCGCACCTGTCCCCACCCGGGCCCACGCTCACTCCCACAGCGGCTGCAGGAGCCTGCAGAGAGAGCGAGAGAGCGAGAGAGAGCGAGAGAGGGAGAGGCAGAGAGGCAGAGAGGCAGCCAGCCATCTTGGCCGCCATGTTGAGCCCCTCCCCCTCTCTCCCTCTCCCCCTCCCCCTCCCCGCGCACCACATGTTTGGATGTGGGCAGACAGGCGCGGGGCTCCAGGGTCGGTCCAAGCCGGGATGGCGAAGGGGGCCCCGGCGCCTCCAAGCTGGAGTGGACGCGGACACGCACGCGGCCGCCGTGGCTGGGGGGTGGGGGCCCACGAAGGGAGTCGAGTGAGGGGCTGGCCCGGCGCTCCCGCGAAGGGCAGAGGTGCCGCGCTCGCGGGGGCTGAGTGGCAGGCGCGGGTACCAGGGGCGCACTGGAGCCAGGCCTCGCTAGGGGAGCATTTGGCGGGGGGGGGGGGGGGCGCGCGGCCACACACTCGGATTTCTATCCCAGAACCCTCGCATGACAACTGCACCCCCACCCTGCCCGAGCACACCTTGGGGGGCTCGCCCTCCAAGCTGCCCCCTCCTCCTCCAGTGGCTCTCAGCCCTCGGCCTCTCCAGCTGAAATCGGGGACCGCGAAGGGAGATTCTGCCCGGCTACAGCCCCGCGCCCCTGCGGCTGCGGCCAGCCCGACACCCAGACAGACCCCTCCCGCGTCCCCACCCCCCACCCTCCACCGCTCCCAGAACCCGCGCCGCGGCTCCACCGAGGGAAAAACAACCCCCTCCCCCCCAGCCCAGCATCCTGCGGCGCCAGCCCCCCGACCCGGCTCCTGCGGGGTGGGGGTGGGGGGCGCGCACACGCACCTCCCCTGCTCACACCCAGACACCTACACAAACAGGGCGCCGAGCTCCCCCCCCCCGCGCGCACACGCACCGGGGACACGCAAGTACCGCCGCGCCGCTTCCCCACAAAGGCTGACGCGCGCGGCGGGCACACGCAGCCACGCGCGGGCACACTCGCCGCCCCATCCCCCGCCCCCCACGCCGCCCGCATCCCCGCGCCCCGGCAGCTCGGCGGGGGGCCGCCCCTGTCGGCTTCGTCGCCCACCCCCACTCCTCCTCCCTGGATGGTGGGGGTGGGGAGCGCGCCGCCCCCCCCGACGCCCCCTCCCGCGCGCAGGTGCGGTGACCCGCGGGCTCCAGCCTCCCCTCCCCCCACCCCCACCCCGCGCCCGCGGCTGGGACAGGCCCCGGCTCCCATCCGTCCTGCTCGTTACCCCCCGCCCCCGGCCCCGCACACCTGGCCCAGGTGCGGCGTTGCCCCCTCCAACCCGGGGCCCGCAGCCACTCACCTGTCCGGCGCTGCTCCCAGATCGGCCCCGCGCGTCTCTTCTGCGGCTCCGCGACCCCGGGCCCCCCGCCCGGCACATCTCCCGGAGCCGGGGCGGGCTGGGGGGGTTGCGGGGGGGGCGAGTGGCGGGCTGGGATTGGAGCGAGGGCGGCCTCCGTGTCCGTTCCCGGCCCCGGCTCAGCCCCGTCGCCACCGATCAAAAATGTTATTTAAAAAAAAAAAGAGAGAGAGAGGGGAAAAAAAAAAAGGCGGATCACACCGCCGCCCCCAAAGTCAGCGGCGGCGCAGGCTCGGGGCTGGGGGCGCGCGGGTCTGCGCCCCTCCCGGGGAGCCAGGCGGCGGGGCGGGGGCGGCGTCAGAGCTCCGGGGGCTGGGGCGAGGCGGCGGCCCCCGAGGCGGCGCCCGCAGCGGCCCGCATCTCCCCCGCAGCTCCGCGCCCCCGGCCGAGGCGGCACGTGTGCGCCCAGGCGACTGTCCCAGCCCCCCCACCCCCGCTTAACGCGGCCGCCGGGGCAGCCCCGCAGGCCCCCGCCGCCCGGCGGCGCCGCTCCGGGGCCCGCGCGGCCCCATCGGCCGGGGCTTTCCCCCCCCTCGGCAGGCAGCGGGGCGGGGGGCGCAGCAGCGCCGACGGCTCGCGCGGTCCCCCCCGCGGGGGGCTCGGGATGGGGGCTGGGGCCCGGGCGCGCGGGGTGGGGGGCGGCCGGAGCGGGGGGCGCGGCGGGGCCGGGCCCGTGGGCACCGCAGGACGCGCGGACCGAGCCGACGCCGGGCTACAGCAATGACAGGAGCCTGCTCGCCCCGCTCCCCGGCGCACCCGCTCCGGGATGGGGGGGCCGCGGGCGCGCGCAAAACCCGGTCCGGAGCCGCTGCCGGGGACGGGGCCGCCGCAGCCAGCCGGGGCGCACGGGGGGCCGGCGCGAAAACCCGGCCTGGATGTCCCTTCCCTGGAAAAGTGGGGACGACCGGGCGGTGGGGGAGGGGATGCGGGGCGTCGGGACGACCCGGAGCGGAGTTTTCCGCGGGGAAGCGATTTTTTTTTTTTGGTTGCCCAAACCTGGGTTGGATTCAAAAGGTGCAGGACCCACGTGGGGCGGGGCAGGTGGGAGAGTGGGGTGGCCCGGGATGGGGTGCGGGGTGGGGGGAGCTTGCGGCACGGCCCATATGCACCCCGGGCACGCAAATTTCATGCCGGAGTCTTCCTCCTCCGGGAGACGGAGTGATGCGTCAGGCCTAATGCAGTGGGAACAGCCGAAGACCCGGCCGGGAGTTCCCCGGGACCGGGGCGCTCGCGGAGGAGGGGGCTGGCTCGGTGGCCCGGCCTGGGCCCGTATCGGGGGTGGGGGTGGGGGAGGGGCAAAAGGCGGGCTGGACTCGGGGCGGGGGGCGGGGGGCTGCACCGGAGCGGAGCGGGCAGGTAGCTTAGGTTCCTGGATGCAGGTGGGGGGCGGGGGCGGGGGGCGGGGATGCTCGGAGGAGGAGGAGGAGGAGGAGGAGAAGGAGGAGGAGGAGGCCGCTACCCTGGGAGACCAGACCTACAATAAAAGGCCAGGGCGGCGCGCAAAGCCAGGACTGGAGCGCCCGGGGCCGGGCTGAGACCCCACCCCACTCCCAGCAAGAAGGACCCTGGCCATGGGGCAGGGGCTTGGCTCTGACCGGCCAAGCGGGGCGGGTGGGGGGCGGTTAGAATCCGTGAACGCCGCAAACGTCTTGCTTTGGGGTGCGGTGGCGCGGGGGGGGGGGATAGGAGAAAAGGGAGAGAGGGGGAAAAAAATTGAAATTTCGGTTTCGGGCAACAGGCAAAACCCGGCAGGCGGATTTCCCAACTGCAGCTCAGACACAGAGCGTATCTAAGTAGGGCAAAGGACAGGCTTGGGGGTCCCTAGGTTTTGGGAGCCCCCTCGGCGTGACGCCGGGCTAAACTCAGGCTTGGATCCTCCGGGACGGAAGGCCCAAGTGGCAGCTCCCTCGGAAATATTAGGAAGGGTCTGGGGGCGGCAGGAGGACACAGAGACCCTGGGGAGCCCCTCCCCCCTCCAGCCCAAGCTCTTGGCAGGTTGGGCTGGCGTGGGCTTGGCTGTGAGTTGGGGGCCACACCAGAACTTTCCCCGGCGGGGCGGTGGGGTTGGGGAGAGCGGTTTGGATGACCACAGACCAAACACCCTGCACCCTCAGGACCCCAGGCCAGCCTGGATGCCCCCCTTCCCCACCAACACACACACACACACACACACACACACACACACACACACGGAAACCCCAAACTTCAGCGTAGAGGATCGAGAAAGGCACTAAGGACGCCCCGTCCATGCTGGCCAGGACACCAGGGCCGAGAGAGCTCTCATCAGATCGATTGGAATAAATGGCAAGCTGTCCTGGGAGCTCCAAGAGACAGCAGGGGCTGGGGGCGGGGGCGGGGGTTTAACAGCCCATCTGAGGTTCAAGGGGTTGCATAAGGAACAAGTCTCCCCACCGCGCGCTCCGTGCCTCAGTTTCCCCCTTGCAGAGACCCAAAGCTTTGGAGTTGGCTGAACTTGAAGACCAAAGTTTAGCAAGCTCGCCCCCACCCCCACCCCTGTCTCCAGCCCTGAGCAGCCCACCCCGTGCCAAGCGAGCAGGACAGAAGGGGGTCGTGGCCCTGGTTAAAGACACCTCCCCCTGCCCCGTTCCCTTCGGAGAGAAACAAGAGACCCCAGCCAGGACCCTAATCCCCGACCCTGCGTTCCCTGGCGGTGCCCGTGGACAGCACAGCGGCCCTGTAGCTATGTGGCCCGGATGGGAACCCTGGACCAGAGGGGTCGGTACAGAGGGGCCCGGGGCGGGGTGGGGGGCGCGAAGTGAGCCAGGGCACCCCCAGTCCGCTCTCCCTCGGCTGCGCAGTCGCAGTAGAGGCCCCAACAGGCGCCGGGCTCCGGGCTCCGGGAACTGACTTGGCCCCGCGCGTGCGCGAGGACCGGCGCTCCCCGGGCGCCCCGTTCGGCTCCGGGTCGGCCCCCTGGCGGTACCAACAGCCGCATGTTCCGTGCAAGCGGTCCCTGGGGACCCCGTCGTCCCAGGTGGAGCCTTCGCATTCTGGGAACCTGGCTTCTGGACACCCCCAGTGCCTGTGCACCCCATGCCTGTACACCCCTCCGGGACTCCACAGTCCGTGCGCACAGCACCTGGGACATCCTGGCCTCAGCCTGGCCTCGGACGCTGCTCGGCTCCCCCGTGCCCTTGGGGTGTCCAGCCCACTGCCTCGGGTCCCGCACTCACAGCCCAGGGGGCTCGCCTCTGCTTGCACACAGCACTCTCTGCCGTGTCCGGGTGTCAGGCACCTTAGGTCCTTTGGTCTGCATTCCAGATCCTGAGACACACTGGGGTGCAGGCGGGAGGGGTTGCAAATGAAACATCTTCTTAGCGCTCCGCCAGGCACCCCCAGCCTGCCGGCTTGGCAGACGTCTCAGGGGCACCCCCTTTCTCCTGGGTCGGACACAGGAATTAGCCCGACCTCCTGTCCAGTCACCCTGAGCACCACCCTGTTCCACCCCCACCCAGGTGAAGAGCAAGGAGGCCCTGGAATGGGGGGGAGGGGTGAATTCCAGCTGCTGTATTCTTGGGTGAGGTTGAGAAGCATGTATTGAGCAGCTACTGTGTGCCTGACATCGTAACGGGGTAAGCAGGCAAAAGGTCGGGCAAATCCAGACTCCGGAGGGAAATATTCAGAGCCCTGGAAGGCGATGGTGAGGCAGAGTGAGACAGAGGCTGCCATGTTCGAGGGGGCGCGGGAACAGCTTGTGCAAAGGTCCTGGGGCAGGGACAATCAGGGTGACTTCGGGTTTTCACTCTGAGGGAAGTGGGAGCCACAAAGGGTTCCGGACCGGAAGTGGGACCTGACCTAGGGGTCCCCCGAGTGTCCCCTGTGCCACTGTTGAGCAGGAGCCAGAGAACAGGGGGAGAGGTGGCTGGTGCCAGCCGTGGGAGGTGACCGCAGAGGCGACAGTGGGGTGCGTAGGGGCTCTGGGTGTGTCTCAGAGGTGGAGCAGCTGGGGGGTAGGGAGTGAGCTGCAGGGGGAGGAGCTGAGCCAAGGTGGGCATCCAGCAGCGATGCCCACGTGGTGCCTCCTGGGGAGGGGGCGGGACTTCCTGTCCCCCTGCCCACGGAGTGGCCTCCCACGCAGGCGCAGGGGCCCGGGTGCACACGCTCGGGGAGTATGTGCCTCCGGCGGTGCCGCCACACCGGCTGCTAAATACCAAAGACAGCGTCCGTGGCCGCGCTTGGCAGGACCCAGATGGGCAGGGCCGAGCCCAGAATGCCGAGGCCATGCCGCTGACGGTTCGAGTCCCGGCTGCTCCACTTCTGAGCCAGCTCCCTAGGCATGCGCTGGGAAAGCAGTGGGAGATGGCTCAAGGGCTTGTGCACCTGCGTGGGAGACCCGGATGGAGCTCCTGGCTCCTGGCTTCATCCTGGCCCAGCCCTGGCTGTGACAGCCACTGGGGAGTGAACCAGCGGATGGAAGACCTCTCGCTCTCGCTCTCGCTCTCTCTGCCTTTCAAATACATAATAAATCTTAACCCAAGACTATGGGCGGGGCTCTTCAATGAGGACACGGAACAGCAGAGTGGAGCAGCAAGTCCACCCCTGGGAAAGAACTGGTAGCAGGTGCACCCGCAGGTGCCTGGCGGAGACGGACCCAGCCCCGGGACGCGCCCCCTGGCACGTGACCACAGCAACACCTGCAGGCCCAGGCACGCGGCAGAATACTACTCACCCATTAAAAGGAAAGAAATCCGAGATCCGCCACAACGAGGCCCAGGCCGGGCGGCGCTGAGCTGCCTGGGAGAAGCCAGACACACACGGGACGGGTACAGTGCGGTCGCGTGTACCCGGAATGCCCAAATCAGGCAGATCTGGCGAGACAGGAAGCAGATGGGCGGCTGCCAGGGGCTGGGGCTGGGGGTGGGGGAGTGTGTGCTGATGGCTTCCTTTGGAACTGACTTGGAATCAGCCGTGGGGAACGTACGGAGCTCCATTAATGAGCCATGGCGTTTCTGCTACATTCTATGTTAGGAGAATTGTATCTCAAGGTTTTTTTTTTTTTTTTTTTTTTTTTTAATCATAGGAGTGATTTGGGAGGGAGCCAGGAAGCCAGAGAGGCTGCGGCAGCCCCCAGGTGGGAGACAGGCAGTGGCACCTGCGTTTTGGGGTGGGGCAGAGCAAACAGGACCCCTTTAATCGCTGCACCCCAGCTCCCTGGGCTCTGCACGCTGTGGAAAACCACAAAGCGCCCCCCTCGCCCCGCCCCCAGCACCTCTTTCCCTATTATGGTCCCCCTCCCAGATTCCAAGGCCAGACAGGCCTGCGCTTCTCTCCCTGGCCGCCAGGGGCCGCTGTGTCGGGCCCCGCCCCTCCCCTCCCTAGCAGGTGCACGGGAGGCGTGGCCTCGGGGACCCTCACACAGAGCTGGGGTGGGGGGGAGCTAGGTGGGGGAAGGTGA